AAATTTTACTAACACCGTTGCTGTTGGTTTACAAGAAATTTAGGGGAGGATATTATAAGATCCTTTTGGGTGGTACAATCTGATGCAAGAAAGGGTTAGGAGTTTGTGGGCTAGGGTTCTATTCCCTGACACCTCCAACATTTGTTGAATCAGACTTCTGAAAATAACATACATTAGGAAAAATATAGTTATGTGCAGTAACAAAATACATACTAATTATAAACAACACCAAGCCATTAATAAGAAAACTCAACAGAAAATATGACTTTAGGAAAACTGGGTGATGTACTAAGTTCCTATTGCTGCTGTAACAAATCGCCCCAAACTTAGTGGCTTAAAACAACACAGCTTTATTAACTTACAGTTCTGGATGTCACGAATCTAAAATAGCTCCCACAAGGCTGAAATCCAGGTGCCGGTAGAGTTGGGTTCCTTTTGAAGGCTCTAGGGAGGATCCATTTCCTTGCCTTTTCTAGCTTCCAGAAGTGCATGCATTCCTGGCTCGAGGTCTTGCTCACTCTGACCTCTATTTCTGTCATCAAATCTGACCTCTATTTGTCATCACTCTGATGTTCCTACCTCCCCTTTTCAGATGGTTGTTATTACTGTTTTTCTTTTTTAAGATTTTATTTATTTCAGAGAGAGAGAGAGAGAGGGAGGAGTGGGGGGAGAGGCAGAGAGAGAAGCAGACTCCCTGCTGAGCAGGGACCCTGATGGATGTGGGGCTTGATCCTGGGACTCCCGGATCATGACCTGAGCTGAAGGCAGACGCCTAACCAACTGAGCCACCCAGGCACCCCTATGGCTGTTATTTTTTATAGAAAACCTAGTTTATTTTTTAATTGTGGTAAAATACACAAAACATAAAGTTTATCATCTTAACCATTTTGCAGGGTACAGTTTGGTATTATTAAGCATATTTACACTCTCTACCTATTAAACAACAACTTCTCCTCCTAACCCCGAGCAAGCAGAATTCTACTTTGTGTTTCTATAAAGTTGGACTACTCTAGACACCGCCTGTAACTGGAAATCTACGATCTTTGTCCTTTTGTATCTGGTTTATTTCATTTAGCATAATGTCTTGAAAGTTCCTGTAATAGCGTGTGTCGGAATTTCTTTTTAGAGGCTGAATAATTTTCTATTGTGTGTAGATACCATGTTTTGTGTATCCATTCAACCATTGGAGGCTACTCAGGTTGCTTCTAGCTTTTGGCTATTTTTTTAGTTTCCCAGACCCAATCCCTCCCCCCGCAACACCAAGCAATTCTTGGACACCAGTGGGCTGAATGACCAAATATATATTTCTTATAAATTGTTATTATATTGCACTATTGTGAATAATGCTGCTATGAGCATGGGTGTACCAAATATCTCTTTCAGACCCTCCTTTCAATTTTGGGGGGCATATACCCAGAAGTGGAATTCTTGTATCATATGGTAATTCTATTTTTAATTTTTTGAGAACTGCCATACTGTTTCTCATAGCAGCTGCACCATTTTATGTTTCCATGAGCAGTCCACTGGCCTCTAATTTCTCTACATTCTTTTTTTTTTTTTAAGATTTTTATTTATTTATGTGACAGAGAGAGACACAGCGAGAGAGGGAACACAAGCAGGGGGAGTGGGAGAGGGAGAAGCAGGCTTTCCGCCGAGCAGGGAGCCTGATGCAGGGCTCGATCCCAGGACCCTGGGATCATGACCTGAGCCGAAGGCAGATGCTTAACGGCTGAGCCACCCAGGCGCCCTTCTACATTCTTGCCAACATTTTTTGTTGTTTGTTTTGATAGTAATCATCCTGATGGGTATGAAGTGGTATCTCACTGTGGCTTTGTTTTACATTTCTCTAATGGTTAGTGATGTTGAACATCTTCATATGCTTAGTGGCCATCCTACCTCTCTTTTATAAAGACCCTTGTGATTACATTGGTTCATTTGGATGGTCCAGAATTATCTCCCCCTATAAGGATCCTTAAATTAACCCCACCTACAAATTTCCTTTTGTCATGTAACATAACACATTCATAGGAGATTAAGACATAGACATCTTGAGGGATGACGGGGTGAGGGGGGAAAGGTCATTATTCTGCCTACCACAGGTAACTCCTATACCACCAAAGCCAAAAGAACAAAAAGTTTGAAAAATGAATGTTTGGTTGATGATTTCAGACACTGCACAGAGTCTGTGTAGTCCAAAAAGATTTAGCTGCATTTTATGATCAGTGACTTTTGAGACAGCTTTTGGTAAAGTAGCAGGGCTGCAACTCAGGAGACATTACTAATATTTCTAGGTAAACTACTAATTTGTGATTGTACTTACATATATATGTTTCTCCCTAAAGGAGCTAGTCTGTTTAAATTACCCAGAGTTCTCATAAGTTCAGGTTAAAGTAAAAAACATGCAGTCCCCCACCACCAAAAAAAAAAAAAAAAAAAAAAAATCAAACCCCCAAACCCCAACATGCAGTCCCAGGCTAGTATGGCAATATACAGCAAATGGAAAGATAGACCAGTTATTATAAGAGGTCACTCGGGTCTAAACTAAGGTGTTGGGTGTGAGGGCAGATCACTTGTATGGAGGATCCAAACAAGGGAGAGATGGCAAGTACTTAGAGCAGTTGAAGGAGCTGGGGGGATCGTGGTTTACCAACAGACACAAGAGGGGAGTGACAACCCTAGGCCTAAGGAAATATGTGTTGTTTGTTAAGACAAGATGTGGATTCTGTTAAGGACTGACTGAGTCTCAAGATCCAGAGTGCTCTCCAGTGTTCTGCCAGGACTTTGGAAAGGAAGAGAGATTGTTCTAGCTCTGGAAAAAGCGCCAAGAAAATCGGTGATAGAGGAAGAAATATGGAGATTGAGAAACTCTGAGGTAGCTCATCTCCAGCAATCTTAATCTGACTCTAAATTAGAAGGCATGATTATTTGCAGAGAGTAACACATGTGGGTAGAGGCCCAAGTGTTTCAGGGCTTATTGAGCAAAGAGATTTACAAGGCCTTGGGAAGTGTGAGGAGCCAATGAGAGACTTATAGCTGTGTATGAAGCACTCACTTGAAAGGTGGTCTTACCTCTAAGGGCACAGCTCCAGTGGAAGAGTCCTTCAAAGCAAAAGAAGGAAAATCAGAGCAAAGGGGAAGTCCATGGAAGCACCAACAGAAGGGAATTCTGGAAGTCTGACGTAGCGTTTGTAGTTATCATACTGAACTACCTATTTGGGGTGTGTCAGATCGTTTCAGTCAGAGAGTATAGTCAACAACCAGAATAATGCACCATGGTGTACTGGGGTTTGTTGATATACTCATGTTTCTGATTTTATGTATTGGAAGAATGTCAGAGTCGGCACCTATCAAGTGATAAAGGAGCTTTTATCCCAAAATGCAAAGCTCATTTAATGTTGGAGATGGGCTACTGTAATATATCACATAATGAAACAGAATAAGAGAAAAACATGATTCCCTTAATGGATGCCAAGAAGCTATTCGATAAAATTGCATACCTATTTTTTATTTTTAAAAAAGGAACCTTATAAACTAGCAATAAAGGAAATTTTTTGACACATATATTCACACATGTACTCAAAGATACTTAAACATAAATAAAAGGCAAGTGACTGGAAAGAAGTAAGCAAAATTATGATCATTTGAAGACAGAATAATGTATCTAGAACATTCAGGAAAATAAACTACAAAGTCATTATTTTTCCTATAAAATAACCAAGAAGAGTTGTAATATATAATAGAAGTTCCACGCATAGTTATCCCCTCTGTTAGTTTCCTAGGGCTGATCCAGCAAAATCCAATAGACTAGGTGGCTTACACAACAGAAATTTATTTCTCACAGTTCTGGAGGCTGGAAGTCCAAGTTCAAGGTGTCAGCAGATTTGGTTTCTACCAAGGCCTCGCTCCTTGGCTTGCAGGTGGCCTTCTCTCTGTGTCCTCACAGGTCTTTTCTATATGTATACACACCCCTGGTGTCCCTTTTTATGTAATGATCTCTCTTTTTTAAGAAAGGCAAACTTACATTGCTGTGCCTCATTTGGATATGTCTGGAGTCTTGGAAGTTTAACTACCCTACATTCTCCTATAAATGGACCTTGAGAGCTTGTTTGGGGGTTGTAGCAGGGGAATGCAGCTACTTGTATACCGTCGCCCAAAGAACAGTCCTTCCCTCTTTCAGGGAAGGTCACCTTCTTCCATCAAGCATGCAGCTTCAGGGAGGAACAGGCACGTGGAGCAGTAAGGGAGGAAGGGGACCCCCCCCTAGCCAGCAATATCAGCAAAATAAACCCTGGTGATCAATGGAGTGACCAATGTCACAGCCAGATTTCCCTCACATCCCTCATCTTCTCCTTTTATAGGGACCCCAGTCAGATTGTTTTAGGGCCCACTCTAATAACCTCATTTTAACTTAATCACCTCTTTAAAGGCTGGATCTCAAAGTACAGCCACATTCTGAGATACTGGGAGTTAGGACTTCAACATAAGAACGGGGCTGGGGGTGCACGATTCAGCCCGTAATACCTCCAGAAAAGACACAAGACTTAAATACAACCCTAAGAAGATCTACGAACAACCTAAAGGAAGGCAGCCATACCATGAAATTGTACAGAAAGACATAAAGAATGGATAAATGGATACATACCATGTTCTTAGTGGGAATGTCTCAGTATTATAAAGTGCTAATTTATCCCAAATTTTATTAAACTAAAAGGTATAACACAACTGTAACCAAAAGCCCAACAAGACCTTCTTCACATCTCTTATCTTTTTTCTTTTCTCTCCCATATCTGTTACATTACCTTCAACTGTATATTCTTTATTTCTAACGGGTGTGCCACCATCAGTTGGATCCATTATCTTCCACTCCAAACTGACCTTCGCAACTGCCCTATACCTGGTAATGGGAGGTCATCACCTATGAGTCACACAGGAGAAAATCTCTGGCTTATCTGGGAAAATTCTTCTTAGTCCATCTATAAATAATCAATCAGTCTTATGTAGCCATTTTTGTTAAAGTTATACCTGTTCCTTCCATTCCATTCCCTTCTTACCTCACATTTGGATTTTAACTCTGCACATCACCATCATCTAGATTAATCTTTCTAAAATATTATTTTCATCATTCTCTTCCAAGTTTACAAATAATGGGTTTAATAAGTCTACTGGGCGACCTTGGGCATGTTAATCACTGTGCTTCAGTTTACTCATCTGTAAAATAGGGATAATAGATAATAGCATTTACCTTATAGAGTTTTCATGAAAATTAAATGTTACAAATTGTTAATTTGTAGAGCACTTAGAACAGTTAGCACTATCTATATATTTATTTAATAAATATCTTCCCCATTGTTTTACCTGGTCCTTAAAAATGCTCACTTTGAGGAAAACTCATTCCTGTGGGTTTAGATACTGTATGCCCTTTTCAAATGATTATTTCCAGAAACACTTGACAAACAGATTATCAATGAACACAGGTGTTCCTTACAGCAGTATACTTAATAGAAAAAGATTGAAGTATGTCTGTAGAAAAAAATGTATAATAAAAGATAGTGAAGTCATACTATGGAAAACTGTGGAGACAAAGATATATTTGTAAATAAAAGTTGCATTTGCTATGGAGGGATGGCCATAATACACTGAGTGAAAAAAGTAAGTTGAAGAATAAGAGGTATAATATGCTTTCATACACATTTGTTTCCAGAAGAATAGGATGCACAGGAAACTGTAAGCAGAGGACAGAGGTTTCTGTTATGAAATGAGGCTGTATGACCTTCCTACAATGAATATGTTTTACTTTTATAATTAAAGCTAAGTAAAAACAAAAGAATAATGAAAGGAGAACTAAAAACTGGTTAAAACTTCCTTTTCTCTAGTCCTTTGCCTTTGATGATCAGGTTTTTATCTGAACTGCATGAAAATACCAGTGATTTTGAGGTTGGTGAGAAGTCAAACTAGGATTTGCTTCAAAACCTCTACACCACTAGGGCGCCTGGGTGGCCCAGTTGGCTAAGCGACTGCCTTCAGTTCACGCCATGATTCTGGGGTCCTGGGATCGAGTCCCACAGTTGGGTTCCCTGCCGAGCAGGGAGTCTGCTTCTCCCTCTGACCCTCTTCCCTCTCGTGCTGTCTGTTTCTCATTCTCTCTCAAATAAATAAATAAAATTTAAAAAAAAACCTCTATCCCGCTAAAGATGGCTTTAAACACCTTGCAGATGAACCGCAAATGTTAGTCTTTACTTTTTTTACCGGAGAAATAGGCATCATCAAATACTTATGCTTCATCCTGATCTTTCATCCAAAGATCATTAATGTAATTACCTGGAAACCTCAACTTCTATCTTAGACGTTGATGAGGGTTAGGGGGAACAGCTACCCTCTTCAACAAACAATCTCAGACTTTCAGAGGTAGAATATCTCCATGTAGAATTTTCTCATCTTCTTGATAATCACTTCCACTACCAAGAGAAAACTCAAGAGAGTTGTAAATTCAGTCGGGCACACTTGAAAAATGCCTTTTTCCATAGACATTCTTCAGAATTTCCTATATGCCAGAATCAAAGGGTTTGGGGCTTGTAAATAAAAGGTGGCCCTTTATAAGGCATGACAAAAGCAAGCAATCTCAAACTAATGACGCGGTAAGGTTTTAACTATCTAGGCACCTACTTTGCCTAGAAAAACAGCCTGTTGTTTTCATTTGTCATCACTGGGCCTCAAAAAGCTAGGCCTTAGCCACCACCTAGTGACGCTAACGACGCGCGATGTCTTACAGCTGCCGCAATTAGAAAGGCTGAGCCTTCTCCTTTAAGAAGCTGACTCACGTGGATGCTGTGTTGTGTGCTCTCAGCTGGGAAGGAGGTGGATCCTAAGTCTCTCCACATTGGCCGCCTCTGGAGAAGGGGCAGAGTTAGCCTCTTTGATTGGCTGTACGAGTACGAGGAGTAGAGTCAGGGGCGGGGTGAGCTGCGGGAGCTCGCCCTGTGTCTGCGGCTTCTGGGAGGGGTGGGCAGCAACGCGGAGGGGAGAGAGAGTGGGGGAGGGTGAACCAGGGAAGGGGCGGGGCCCAGCGGAAGGGGCAGGGTGCCGGGGATGAGGGCGGGGCCTAGAAATGAAGGGGGTCCTGGGCCAACCGGGAGAGCCGACTGTTCGAGGGGCGGAGCTATACTGAGTGATTGACGCGGAGGCCCAACCAGGGAGAGGCGGGGCCAAGGCCGGGGCCTGACTAAACCTGGAGACTCGGGTGGCCGAGGGGCTTCATCCCAGCTGAGGAGCGAAGAGCCGCTGGCGGCCGCGGATCTCACAGCCGCTCGGGGTGAGTGCGGTGGGCGGGGGGCTGGGCTCGGAACCCGACGGGGGCAGAGGAGCCCTCCGGGCCGACGGCTTCGAAGCACTCCGGGATCGGCCCGGGGCGGGGGGACTCAGGCAGGAAGTGCCTCTTCCTCGTCGGGCTCCCCCCGGGGTCCCAGCGCGGCCGCCCTCGACCCCTCTGGGCGGGCCCCAGTGCCGGGGCTGCGCGCTGGGCTGTTTCCTCTTTGTGAGGCCCAGGCGCGGCCGCCGCCGTCGGCCCGCCCCCGCCGCGCAGCCGGGGCGACCGCAACAGCCGCGACCCCTCAGCTCGGCGGCCGCGCCCTCCCGCCGCAGCCTCCCGCCGGACGAGGTCCCCCGGCGCCGCCTAGGAGGCCCTTCCGCGGGCAGTTTGGCCGGCTATCCCCCCCACCCCCCGCCCCGGCTGCCCCGCCCCCCACGGGCCGCGTCCCCGCCGCAGTGTCGGGGGCGCGCCGGGGTTCCGCGCCACCGCAGATGTCCGGAGGCCTGCTCCTCGGCAGCCTCGTCGCGCCCCCGGCCCCGGAGTGAAGTCCGAACCCGGCGCCGAGCTGCGGGGCCATGATGACGCCGCGGGGCGGCCCCTCTTGAAAAAGAGCCACCGTCCCGGCCCCTGGCACTAGCTCCGGGCGGGGGGCCGTGTTGGCTTTGTGTCTGCCCCGCCTGGCGAATGTCGGCCACCCTGCCCTGTAGCTCGCAGGCTGGCCCCAGAAGCGAGCGTGGGGCCCCGCTGGCCCGGTGGAGGGCGGGGTGCGACTGTTAGACGGCCGTCGGGCGTCCCCGGGCCCCGGCGGCCAGGCCGGGACCCCGCGCCGCCGCCCGCTCAGCTGTTTCCGGCCCGTGTTTGTGGTGCGGGAGGAGGCCGCGCCGCGCTCGGCCCGGCCCCTCCCGATTGGCCCGCGGCGTCACGTGCCCGCAATCAGCTGGGGCCAGCTGGGGCCGCGGGCGGCTGGCGGGGTCTGGGCGGCTGCGGGTCGCGCCCGCCTCGCCCCACGGTGGGAGGGTGGGCGTGCTCTTGCAGCCCCTTTATTCTCCCCTCCTTCCAGGTAGCTAGGTAGGACAATGAGTATTGTGAACAGCGGGCGTTGGAAAACGGAACTGCTACCAAAAGATCTGTTTATTCCTGACACCCATTACTCTCCCCCCGCTCCTCAAGGGAGAGAGTCTGGGAACGTGTACAGCTCATTTATTTTTAAACTTTTTCTGTTTACAGAGCCCTGTCGGTAATCTGAGGATTTTTATTCCAGGTCTCCTTGACAGATGGAAAACCTGAAGTAACCTCAGGCTAGCTAACCTTGTGTTTTTGGAAAACTAGACTTGCTGGTGAAGTCACACTGGGGGTAATAGGATATTAGCTCACTTTGCGTGGCCATGTATACAGTTGTTGCAGCACTGTTCCAATACAGACGAACCAAAATACACGAAGTGTTCCCAGGGTAAATATTTCTGCCAGATGTGAAGTATCTTGGTCGGTTCTTTTCCTAAAACTTGATTGCATATTTGTACTGTGTTAGATAAGGAAGTTACCAAGAACTTTGGAAGCCTGTAGCTTAGTAAAAAGTCATAGACAAATGAAATTGAGTAACAGTACAAACGTACGTGTTAGCAAACTATGAAATGAGTGTCATGGGAGTTTCAAAATGGGGCAGTGGAAAAAAAAATGGGTGAGTGAAGTGGGAAGCATTCTTAAATGGATTGGTATTGCTTAGACCTAGAAAATGGGAGAGTCTGTGGGTGGCTTGTGGGCAGACAGGCCTAGAAGGAAAAACAGGCCTGAAGCATTTACAGATAGTGAGAAGGTGGAGCTTGTGGAATTTGGCACATAATGTGTTTTTCCATTTATCCCATTATCTTTCTGGGAATGTAGTGGAACACAAGGTAGAATGTACCTCCTTGGAAAGGACATATCTAACTTTATCATATCCTCACCCATCTCAGTGCCCACTATAGGCCTACTGGTTGACTTTCTTTTTTAAGTTTATCTCTAGCAACCATCTTATCTGTAGGGGAGGGAGATAATAAAATGTGCTCAGGTAACTTATTTAATTCTATACAGGGGAACTACAGAAATTGGATTTTTAGGAAACAACTTTTCTAAAAAGGTTAATAACATGCATGTGGTTTCTAAAAATAATATATGGTTGGATCATCAAGGACCTTTCCCCACTTAACCTGTCTTTCGCTCTACTGAAGTGATAGAAGAGAGAAAAAGGTTTAGAAACAAAAGGGAAGGGAAATAAAGCCAAAATTAAGTCTAAAAAGGAGTTTTTTTTTTTTAAAGATTTTATTTATTTGAGAGAGAGAGAATGAGAGACAGAGAGCAGGAGAGGGAAGAGGGTCAGAGGGAGAAGCAGACTCCCTGCTTGGGGACTCCAGGATCATGACCTGAGCCGAAGGCAGTCACTTAACCAACTGAGCCACCCAGGCACCCTAAAAAGAAGATATTAAATTAGACACTACCCTCCAACATAGTTCTAAATATGTTCATGAGATGTGAAAGCTAGTTCTAAATATATTCATGAGATGTGAAGATAGTCCTAAGTACATTTGTGCCCAAAATACCATTTTAGGTTTTATAGAGCCTAAATGGCTATATAAATCATTATCTGGTTTTCTGGTAATCCTGTGTCCTAATATCTGGGTAATGTAGGAACTGAATCTTAGCTATGACATGAATTTGTCACTTGACACCTTAATCGGGAAACCAGACAGTTAATATACTCCAGTCCACCCAATAAGGCTTTTTTGACTCATGGTATTGCATCACAACAACTGAGAGATCTCAATTTGTCTTGACAGTGGGGTGTTTTGGGGAGATTACCAACTCATGGTTTAGCTGCCTCACTGAGTTACATAACTATTATTTTCTAGTGATGACTAAACAATAAGTATTAATAGAAATACAGTAAACCTGGAAAACATTCAACAACAAAGGCATTATTTGAAGGACAAAAACAAAAATATAGGTTACTGCCCATTGAAGACCTGATTCCACAACCAAAACATTTGACACAGCAAAGGAAACTGGTCGGGTATTACAAGAGAACAAGAGGAAAACAACTTTCGCTTGTCACTGAAACCTTGGTTTGGTAAATATTTTGTACAAAAATTGGTAAATTGGTTTTATGGATTGAACTCAATTTATTTTCTCCCTTTTAAGTTTTCAATAGAATTTAGTCACAAGTCAGTATGAAAATAGTTGATGAGAGAACAATAGCATTAAATGTTAATTATAGTAATCTACCGAAAACAAAAGTCTTTAGGTTTTGTTCCTTCTTTTGTCTTGGAGAGGGGAGAGACTGAAAAACAGATAAACAGGCTTCAGCGTGTTTTCATTTTACCAGAACCATCGCAAAATACAATTTCCTCTGGAAGGGCAGATTTCTTGAACCCTTTCTGCACTAGGTCTCTGCACATTCAGTTCCCTGCTAGAGAGAGTCTTTGTAGGTTGCATTTGCCAACCACCTCCTGGCATTGGAAAAACCCCACTCACTTGTCCAGCAATAGGTAGAGTCCCAGTATTGTCTGTTCTGTGGTCCATGGAAATGCCCTGAGGAAATAATTGGTTTACAGAGGAAAAGTCTGTGAACAGGGTGTTTTTCTCATCAGTGGGTCCTTACAGATGCAAATCAATACTTACTATTCTCCCTGGTATTTTTAGGGCTGGGCAGTGTGATGCTTTCTTTGGCCAAATCTACCTGCCAGGGTTGGATCCCAACTGGATTATTAATTACAAGGAGGACTGGAACTGTGACAATGAGAATTTGAGATGCTTCAGAAGGTTTCTAACTTCCCTTCTGCTTGTAATTTCTGTCACCTCTTCGCTTAGCTTAGCTTTGTAGTAATTAACATGAGGTGAAGCCAGTTAACTGTTATTTGTCTCATGTTCTTTCTGTGTTTTGCTTTCTTCCTCCTCTTTTTTTTTTTAAGAGATTTTATTTATTTGAGAGAGAGAGCATGAGCATGGGGGTGGGGGTGGGGGGGTAGGGAGCCTGATGGAGGATTTGATCCTAGGACCCTGGGTTCATGACCTGAGCCAAAGGCAGACGCTTAACCGACAGAGCCACCCAGGCGTCCGCCTTCCTCTTTAATAGGATGGGGAAGTTGGGGTGGGGAATGTGGATGAAGGAAATCTGATTTTACTGCATTGACCTTTGTTTAACATTTGTGGTGTGCCGGGCACTATTCTCATAATGTATAATCTGCACTGAATTCTCACAACTCAGAGATGGATACTGGTATCTCCATTTTACAGATGAAGAAGCAGAGGATACCTTATCCAAAGTTTACACAGCTTTAAGGGGCAGAGCTGAGTTTTGAACCCAGGCTGTCTGATTCCAGAAATCAAGTATCTGGGCCACATTGTTTAAATCCTGGGGATGCAGAGAGAGGAGGCAGCAGTTAGGTGGTATATATTATTTATTTTTGCAATCTTTTTAGAGCTGATCTGATTATAGAAAGTTAAAGATTTTAGCTAGGAATATCTGTGAAGAAAAGGGGAGCAGGATTAAATTGATCCTGTCTAATACTCTGTTGATCCTTAAATCTGAGTGCCAACTAAGTTTATTTTTTTACTGAGAAAGACTGCTTTTTAAATGAAAAGCCCTTTTTGCCGTCTGAAAGCATTTTTAACAGGGGTCAGCATACTTTGTCAGGGGCCAGATAGGGAATATTGTGAATTTTACAAGCCATAAGGTTTCAGCCACAACTATTCAGACTCTGCTATGGCAGTGAGAGAGCTTTCCAGTATAAACAAATGGATGTGGCTGTGTCCCAATAAAACTTTATTTATGGATGCAAATTTGAATTTCATGTAGTTCTTCTGTGTCACAAAATAATCTTTTGATGTCTTTTTCCTACCATTTAAAAGCATAAAAACTATTCTTAGCTTGTGGGCCATTAAGAAACAGGTGGTGAACTGAATTTTACCCACAGGCCTTAGTTTGCTGACCACTGCTTTTAAGGAAAGTATATAGCAATGAGCCAGACAAAGAACAAGATACCGTATTTGACACTGATTTTGTGTGTGTGTGTGTATGCATATATATATATGTATATATATATATATATATATATATATTAGCTGTGAACAAGTAGAATTTGAAATGAAAAACAACATTTAGCATCCAAAAAAATGAAATACCTAGGTATAAATCTAACAAAATGTTACAAGATCCATATGAGGAAAAATAAATGAAATCAGGAGGGGCATCTGGGTGGCTCGGTTGAGTGTCTGCCTTCGGCTCAGGTCATGATCCCGGGGTCCTGGGATCGAGCCCCACATTGGGCTCCCTGCTCCGCGGGAAGCCTGCTTCTCTCTCTCCCACTCCCCCTGCTTGTGTTCCCTCTCTCACTGTGTCTCTCTCTGTCAAATAAAATCTTTAAAAAAAAAAAATGAAATCAAGAAGGAAATAAATGGAGAGACTACATGTTCATAGATAGGAAGACTCAGTGCTGTCACACTATTAGTCCCAATTTTGGATTCATTGCAATACCAATTAAAATCCCAACAAATTACTTTGTGAATATCAACAAACTGATTCTAAAGTTTCTATAGAGAGGCAAAAGAATAGCCAATCTGATATTGAAAGAGAACAGTCAGAAGATTGACACTACCTGACTTTAAGACTTAATATAAAGGTACAGTAATCAAGACAGTATGGTATTGACCAGAGTGGACAAATAGATCAATGGAACAGAATAGAGGGCCCAGAAAGAGATCCACATAAATATCATGAACTGATACTTGACAGGTGCAAAGGCAGTACAGTGGAAATGAAATACAATTTCATTTTTTTTAAATTGTTTTTTACAATTTCATTTTCAATTTCCTCATATAGATAGTATTTTCTTTTTTTTTTTTTTAAAGATTTTATTTATTTTTTTGAGAAACAATGAGAGACAGCACAAGAGGGAAGAGGGTCAGAGGGAGAAGCAGACTCCCCGCTGAGCAGGGAGCCCGATATGGGACTCGATCCCGGGACTCCAGGATCATGACCTGAGCCGAAGGCAGTCGCTTAACCAACTGAGCCACCCAGGCGCCCTAGATAGTATTTTCAATAAACCAGTGCTAAAATAACTGGACCTCCACATGCAAAAAAAAAAAAAAAAAAATCTAGACACAGACCTTACACCTCATTCACAAAAATTAAAATCAGTCACAGACCTACATGTAAAATGCAAAATTATAAAACTCCTAGAAGGTAACATAGAAAATCTAGATGGCATTGTGTATAGCAGTGACTTTCTGAATACAACACCAAAGGCATGATCCATGAAAGAAATAATTGATAAGCTGGACTTCATTAAAATTAAAAACTTCTGTGCAAAAGACATCAAGAGTGCAAGAAGATAAGCCACAGGCTGGGAGAAAAAATTTGCAAAGGCATCAATAAAGGTCTTATCCAGTATATACAAAGAACTCTTAAAAACTCAACAAAAAGAAAACAACCTGATTTTAAAAATGGCAAATAGCATATGAAAAGATGCTCCATATCATATGCCATTAGGGAAATGCAAATTAAAACAACGAGATACCCCTACACACACACCGATTGGAATGGCCAAAATCCTGAACCCTGACATCATCAAATGCTGAAGAGGATGTGTAGAGTAACAGGAACTTTCATTCCTTGCTGGTGGGACTGTAAAATGGTACAGCCACTTTGGAAGACTTGGCATATGATCCAGCAGTTATACTCCTTGGTATTTACCCAAAGGAACCAAAAACTTATATGGATACAAAAACCTGCCTTTCATGGATTTCTTAAAGAGAAAAATCTTGGCAGGCGTTTTTTTGCTGTGAACCTAAAACTGCTTTAAGAAAAAACCCTTAAATCTCAACTAAAAAGAGCCATTTTTAGAAAGTTGTTTTATTGACTTGGACTCAAGGAAATTACATAGTCCATATTGTCTAATTTTTGAAATAGTTGACTTTGGACACAGGTTGGAACTGCATGAGTCTACTTATGTGTGGATTTTTTTCAATAAATACAGTACCGTAGATGTATTTTTTCATGGTTTTTGTAATGTTTTCTGTTCCAGCTTACTTTATTGTAAGAATACAGTATATAATGCATTCAACATACGAAAGGTGTTATTTGATGCTTATGTTTATGTTGTCAGGCTTCGGGTCAACCTGTTTTTGGGGAGTCGTTATATGCAGATTTTCCACTGTGCAGGGGGGGGCGCGTGGTTGACATCCTTAACCACCACCCTCACATTGTTCAAGGGTCAACTGTTACACATTCCTGGAGACATTGTATTTTGTGAATTTTTCAAAGCAAAACTTTTTTTCTCTTACAGATTCTGTAAATCCTGTGAATTTTTTAAAAATTCTGTAAAAAGAGTTCAAAAATGTGATTGCTTCACCGGGGTCTCCTATTAAAATAGAAATGGAAAATTCTAGCTAGCTAAATGTACTGTTGGAGGGGGAAGGAAATTGAAACAATTACTAAAATGTGATCTTTAGATCATCTATGAATTTCACTTATATTTTTAACCTGGCCCTTCAGTTTCCATTACTTTCAGATACTGATAATAGGCTCCTAGTAAACAACCATGTTTGGTACTTATTTCAAGCTTTTAACGATTTTAATTACCTGGAAGTAAGAAAAGCTAGTACCAAAGAGGACTTACTTATAAAATTATCTGGGAAATGGTACTTATTAAAATTAAGATTATTACTGTTTTTTGCTTGAGATTGTAAAAAGCAAGAAAACATCTTAAAGCTTTAGCTATGATGATTTTGGCCCTAGTTTTGGTTATAAACTTGAACTTCAACACTGACAGATGCCAAAGCATTTTTTTTTTTTTTTTTTTTTACAATTTAGATTGGTTTAATCTTGAAACGTAATCCAATAAGACTAAAAACTAAACATTTCAGGTCCTGTACTAAATAGTAAAATACTCAAAGGCCTTCAGGATCCTTTGACTGATTTACATCAATAAGAGAACCTATTTTCGATGTTGTAAAAGAAATATGTTCATCTCCAATTACAATTTCAAGCTCCTGAAAAAAATAAAATAGATTAATGTAGTTAATATAAAACTCCACCTCAGAGGTATTGGTATTCTTGTTACCAAGAGGTCCCAATTTAGCTGCAAGTTTTCTAGCAGTCATAGAGGAGAAGAAGGAAAAGAAAGAAAAAAAGAAAAAAGAAAAGGAAAAGGAAAAGAAAAAGGAAAAGAAACTTGACCTGACAGACATAAACTATGTTTGTAAAATAAAAACCTCATCAACTGCTCAGGAGTCCCCAAATTTAGGATCAACCAAGAATTGCTTTCCAGAGATCTCATAAATAAGATACTATAAATATGAATGATATATGTAAGAGTACACATAAACATTTCTTATGTCATTAAAAACTAAACACATAACTTTGAAGCACAATGCTATAAATATGGGTATAAACCTATTTTTAATAAATAAATACAAGCACATTTAACCTTTCTACCAGGCTTTATAAGTAAAATGCACAATACTAATAGCACCATTTGGGCATCTACTATGTATGAGGCCCTACTGCTAGGGACTTTACAAACATACTCTGTAATCCCTAAAACACCCTTCTCAGGGTATTTTACAAATACAAAATACAAGACTCATAAAGCATAGGCAAAAAACATTGATGTATATACAATCACGAGAAGTGAAGGTATTGATATTTGAGTCCTCGGCTATTAAGACTGAAAGACTCATTGTGGTTTGACTTCACAAAGCACTGAAAATTAAGACCTACTAAAACAAATACAACATGCTATAGACATTCTTAGCGTGCCATAATTATTGTAGAAATTGTTCTCTAGATTTTATCTGCAAATCTAAAACCAATAATTACGAGGCTATGTGTGTAGTGATTTATAAGGTTAAATAACAAATGCCATTAAAGATGGTCTTAGCTCTGTATTTCATTATGGGACCTAATTATGCACAGTTTTTGGCACGCACAAAAATGGAGAACTAAGGCTCTCAAACGATCATAAAATCTTTGACTTAAAGATCCAATAGATGATTTCTGGAATATGCCTACCCCTCCCCACTAACCAAAACATATAAATACATCATCAAGTTGGTAGATGAAAATACTGGGTTCTCCCTGAGTCTAAAAGAGATAAAAGGTTTCCTGTTGTAGTGTCTGTTTTTTAGTACGTAGGTACCTATAGCATAAAACAAACCGAGATTTAAATTTACTTTTTAAAAGTATTTACAATGTGTAACATAAATACTGTTAACTATTACCTTTGCTTTCCTAAATACTTCTTTAAATAGAAGAGTTAAATGACTGCTACAGAATGTCAGCATCTATTTGACTTCTCCACATTTTCTTTTAGTCAAAAAAGGGGATATAAAGTGTAATTCTCAGGAATATACAAAAGTGAAATTAAGTGTTTCTTCCTCCAGGAGTTGTATTTCATTTCTTCAAGAGTTGAAAAAGCCCAAACTGTCTTTCTACAGAGTGAAACTAAGCCTTCAAACTTCTCCAGAAGCCCTTTGAGAAACATTAATTACTCTGAAGGGAATAAGAGGCAAAAGCAATGATCACTTTGAACAAAGAAACCAATCAAATCCCTCTTTTGGGCATAAGGGTGCAAGTAAGAGTTCTCAAAGTTATAAAAATGAAGAAAGTGAATTTTACAATCAATAAGAATCTTCTCTTGAATTTCACAAACACTGTACTTATTCTTAACAGAAGTAATTAACATACAACAGCAATTATCCATAACAGTGTGAAAACATCCTAACTTTAACCGGTGAGGCTACAGAGAAGACTGGTCAGAAAGATGTCTAAGTTTAGAGCTCTGCACTGACTCCTTTACTATTCAGAGGTAGAACAGAAAATGAAATTAAGTGAAATAAAATTAGAGTATTTACCGGGTACCTACTAAATGGAAAACCAAAGAATCGAGGGGGATCTATGCTAAGTAAATACGGAGAAACATAACAATTATATCACCAATTTCTAACAAGTACGCATGTAAAGAACCACTGAATACGAACCTGTCGGCCAACTCTGTCAGGGGGAGGCCACAACGCATCATCTTCTTTTGTAATTTCACTGTCGTCAATAATCCTCTTCAGTTCCTCCATTACACTCTTGTGCACATAAGCCTCCTTTCTGATCATGACATCATTTTTGTAATTGCTGTTGTTGGCATATCTTAGCTTTCCGTCTGGCCGAAACTCGAACTCCAGAAACTTGTGTCCAAACTTGCACTTGTGCCCTACATAGTAGCGCCGGTAGAAATCGCTGGCCATAGCCATTTTTGTCCCCCTGAAGCCAGCCCAAGGCCTCCCAAAGCATGTATTTTATTACTTAGAGACACAGTAAGGTGCCCCTAGAGTCAGCACCGAGAACATTAGTCTTGTGTAAAAGCAGCTCAATTTTAAGGTGTTTTTAAAATATGTGGCTGGGGCGCCTGGGTGGCTCAGTCGGTTAAGCATCTGCCTTCGGCTCAGGTCATGATCCCAGGGTCCTGGGGTCGGGCCCCGCATCGGGCTCCCTGCTCTGCAGGAAGCCTGCTTTTCCCTCTCCCACTCCCCCTGCTTGTGTTCCCTCTCTTGCTATCTCTCTCTCTCTGTCAAATAAATAAATAAAATCTTAAAAAATAAAATATGTGGCTGAAGAGATTTGGAACTCTTCTAAGTCTAAGCAAGATACTTAGCATATCTGGGAAATATTTTGAATGTAAAAACAAAAAGTAGATCACTGGTTGCCTGTGACTGCAGAGGGCTTTGTGGGAATTTTGGGGAGGTGATAGAAATATTCTAATGCTGGGTTGTGATATAAAGTAGTGGCACAACCCTATAAATCTAAAAATCGTTCAATTGTATACTTAAACAGTGGCTAAATTTTATGGTATGTAAATTATTCCTTGAAAAATCTGGAGACTTTTTTGCTAAAAGAATTAGCTATATTCTATTCTGTCAGAAGAAAAGTTTCGAAGTTTGTAGAGGAGTGGTCTGTATGAGCTCATAGAAAAAGATGGTGGGGCACCTGGGTGGCTCGGTCAATTTGGGCTCAGGAGTAATCTCAGAGTGGTGAGATCAAGCCCCAAGTTGTCTCTGTGCTAGGTATGGAGCTTGCTTGGGATTCTCTCTCTCATCCTCTGCCGCTCTCCTCTCTCTCTCTCTCTCTCTCCTCCCTCTCTCAAAAAAAAAAAAAAAAAGAGAATGATGACTAAAGCACATGCCTTTGACCTTATTTTTGTAGTGCTATCAAATTTAGCAGAAATGTAGGGGTACCTGTGAATGTGCATTGCATTTAATAATATACACTCCCTGGCCACAAGAGGTTTATCTAGAAGGGATAAGAATTTGAATTAAGACATTGATGGGGAAGGAGGAAAGACCTCCAAAAGTGATTTAGGAAGTTTTGTGAGAGGTTGCCAGGGTTTACTAGTTTAGGAGAGTGTGTCTTTCGAACTGGCCACCACCTAAGAAAGGAAATACAGGAGGGATCAGCATGGAGGCAGGAAGGGTACATGATAAATCTGAGGGAGAAAGGCCATGAATCTGGCAGCCCTCTGGTCCCTAGAGAATGAGGAGAGGGAAAAGAACAACTGGAGCAAGGTTTCATTTCAGGCCCCAGTTTGGCCAGTGTCAGGAAGTCACATAGACTTTTATTTCTTCCTCTGCAGAAATAGAGTGACGATTAAAAAACTGTCAGGATTAAATGTGGTATGTGAAGTAGTGTCCCATACAGTGTAGACACTAATTACTAGGTCTAAGGCAGAGTTCAGTATATCCTCCAGGTCCAAAGGAGTCTGATTCAGGCACTACGTCTTAGCTTTTTAATGACCTTTCTCCTTAAATATAAAGTGGCATTCTGATTGATAGCAGCCTCTTGAGAATTTGGATAGTGTGAGTCAGTAGGTTGTTTCTAGCCTTGCAAAACTAAGGCTTAACACCTAGAACGTAATGACCCTGCAGAGGTTTTTCTACTTCCAAAAGATCAGACCTTTGATAGAAAGGGACGTTTTGCTTGCTTTTGCTAGATTCCATGGCATTCTAGCCTCTCTTTTTTGGCAAATAAGAACTAATTTTACAGTTTTATATCCATATATAGTACTCTATAAATGGAAATCACAACTAGGAATAGTGATTGTGCACAGATATTTTTGGTCTTGGTAATGAATCATGCAATTGAATCCAGTAAAAATACTTGGGTAAAAGTAAAAAATAGACTGAATTTGAAGCAAGGAAGAAAAAAACATGTTAAATCTCTTTACCCCATTTAGGAATAAAGAGATTGCCTATATCCAGTAGCAAATGGTCACAGCTATATGGTAATTTTGAGTTAAAGATAGAATGATGTAGGCACAAGTTACAGGGAGAGTTCATTTTGAAGTCTCAGTACGTTTTCCACAGCAGCCTTGTGTCTGCCATGGCCAGTTCAAAAACATCTAGTTAATACTGCATTATGGTTGAAAGAAGTTACAATATGAATATTTAAAAGTTTGAAGGAAAATTCGTTTTAAAGTAATGAGTCCCAGAAGCCCAAGCAGGAGGCTAAATCACTGCACTATACTGGTTTTCAGAGAACTATGGAATCTGAGGACTGTGTCTTAAGAGGTAAGACTGTAAAACCTTGCTATTGATTACTTTCTGTAGTTGAGCAGCAGTAAGAAACATGACCCAGATCACCTGTTCACAAGTTGTTGTATGCTGTGGTTATATGAAGAGTCATAAACCCAGATGTCTTACGGGGGAAGTAATTATGTGACGCAAAGTGGTGACTGAGCAGACCCAATGACCTTGGGGGAGTGCAGCTACCACTCACCTCCAGTCATTGTTGCCACAGGAGAACACGTGCCCTGTGGGCCAGATCTCCCTATTGTTTAAAAAAAGAAAAAAAAAACAGGCTCTTTAATGAAATCTTTCATGTTTGATGGTGGCCCAGGTGTTTTTTATTAATAAACTTTGTGGGCCAAATTAAACATGTCCACATATGTTTCGTAAGGGAAGGGTTGTTTTGTTCACTGTTTTATCCCTATGCCACCAAATGAATTCAGCCTGCAGGCCTAAATTTTGCAACCTCTGACCTTTATGTAACAAATACTGTGCTCTGAAGCATCTGAAAAAAGTAGTGCTATCATTTTAAAGGCTGTAAAACAGTAGTAACTCTTTTGTTGTCATTTTGCAGAAATGTAATCAAAAAGCTAAATATTTCTTAAGTCTTGTTTTCACCCAGGGTTTATTCATTGACATGTTTGTTAATGGGCAGTGGTTTTCCTTTCACTAGCCACAAATTTTAATTGTATTTACCATTTTTCATTCTTATTAAACTTCCATATCAAAATGTTTAATGGAAGTCATAACCTTTGTGATGACTTTTTTGATGACATTAGGACTGCCTAATAACTAAAGGAAGTTCACATATGTAAGAAGGAATGATGGAATTTTTAATTTGTAATGAAATTTCCCCAAATTTAAAATGACAGTGGATTCTTATTAGAAACATAGATTTTAGAGTTTGTTTTCATAGTGGCAGCTACATCAGCTCTGCATGCCATTTTAAAGATAGGTGATACAAATATTCAAAACGCAGGAGCTGAAAACTATACCAGGAATAAATTCTTTAATGAGAGCTGTAGTGTATTCTTGACTATATCTATATCTTTAAAAAATAGTGTTTAAGGGGATTAATTGCTATGAATTCAAGGAGTTGCACATATTAACTCTAACTTTTGAAATACTGAAGTGATTATCCTTGTTTCAGAATCTGGGTTTCAAAGCTTCTTGTTTCAGTGTTTCAGCACTTCTGTGATTTATTGAATCAGTATGGTTTCTTAAATACAAGTTATGTAATAATGGCTCATCTTTCCCTTCTTTTCTGTGCTTGTTTTCCTAGCCTTATGCCAGGGTAATGCAAGACTTTTGGCTTTAGGGTGGGTGAACTGCATTCCGGTCATGATTTTCTGTACTTGAAAGCCCTGTGACCTTTGATCAGTTAATAACCTTGGATAATTTATGAAATGGGGGTGATAACCTCACAGAGTTGTTGGGATGATTTTGAAATAAGAAAAGCACCGACATGATCCTGGAGTCCTGGGATCGAGTCCCACATCGGGCTCCCTGCTCAGCGGGGAGTCTGCTTCTCCCTCTGACCCTCTTCCCTCTCGTGCTCTCTATCTCTCATTCTCTCTCTCAAATAAATAAATAAAATCTTAAAAAAAAAAAAAAAAAGAAAAGAAAAGAAAAGCACCGAGTACAGTGCCTCACAGACTCCCAGCATACTGCTGGTAGTGCCATCGCCCCTCCATGGTTGTAGGGTGCCTGATGGCCAGAGCTACCCCCTCTCTTAACCGGGACTACCCTCTTCCCATTTCTGATTGTCCCTTTTTCTGCTCTTGTGATCACCCACACGTGCCCCACAAGTCTTTCCTCAGATTACATATGCTCAGAATGTACCCTTAACACTTAGGCTAAAGCCTTTTTTCTCACATCTCTGCCTGTGCTTCTCATTATTCGGTTTCTGATACTCCACTTTCTTCCTGTGTTTGTCATACCAGCCAAAAGAGAAGTGATACTGTTCCAACCTTGCCTAAACATGTTTGCTTCCTTGGCTCACTGCTTCTAAACAGTTCTTAGCTTGGTATGCCTGTTTGTTCAGTGCATGAACCTTGGATCCTTTAGCACAGAGTCAACTACTTCCCATACTGAGAACTACAAAGCAGAGATCATTATATATATATATATATATATATAAATGGTTTTCTATGACCCCCACCAAGTAGATACCAACAATTTTTTTTAATCCTAATGCTTTCTTGTTCTTTTCCATTTGCTTCTAGGTTTTTAGAACTTCAGCTATAAAAATGGGCAGAATTTTCCTCGATCATATCGGTGGTACCCGTCTGTTTTCTTGTGCAAACTGCGATACAATCCTGACCAACCGCTCAGAACTCATCTCCACACGGTTCACAGGCGCCACTGGCAGAGCATTTCTTTTTAACAAGGTTGGTGGGAAAACCAGCTTCATTTCCTAAGTGAGTTCAGTGGATATTTTTGACAGCAATACCAGAGTATCCCTCAGAGCTTGGAGATAGCAGAAAGAGTCCAAATGAGAGCTGTAATCTGCATGCAGGAAAGAGTGTCCACTAGTTTGTCTTTGGGACCTCAGGAAGGCATTCCTAGACTGTGATGTTTTACTATGGGAGTTTGAAGACTGTGTTACAATAAGAAGGGCAGTCTTCATTGCTTCATGAAACATTCAGTGTAAGAATTTAGTAGTGACTTCACGCACTATGGAAGAAGGGGCAGAAGTACCCCTATACCCATGTCACTGATTTATCCTAGGGAGAGCTGCAGTAAGCTTTCATAGTTTGACAGTGCAAGTGAATAAAGATCATCTAACCAGTTTCCCTTGCTCTAATTTATGCTCACCAGTCATCCTGATTATGTTGTGGTTTATTGCATGCCAACAGGAAGAGTGTTCCCTGATTTACAAATTAATGACTAGTCTGTCTCCTCTGATTTCTGGCTTGCTTTAAAATTGGTTGATGTGAGGGACACCTGGGTGGCTCAGTCGGTTAAGCGTCTGCCTTTGGCTTGGGTCGTGATCCCAGGGTCCTGGGATCGAGCCCACATGGGGCTCCCCGCTCAGCTGGGAGCCTGCTTCTCCCTCTCCCACTCCCCCTGCTTGTGTTCCCTCTCTCACTGTCTCTCTCTGTCAAATAAATAAAATTTTTTAAAAAATGAAATAAAATAAAATTGGTTGATGTGATTCTGCCTCCTGGAGTCTGATGTGTTTTAGCAGAGTTGAATTTCCAAATCTTTTAGGCTGAGGGGCAGAACTAGTCCAGGGTACTGCTCTTAAAGGTCAGCTAGACTTCCCCAGTGGACACCCCTCTGTTCCATTTAGAAATAAGCTTTTCTCTGAAAGAAATGATAGTGCAGATCTCTTGATCTTTCTTTAGGTACAGAGCAGGAGTTGGTATACTATGGCAGGCCAGCTACCTGTTGCTGTAAATGAAGTTTAATAAAGCACAGCGTGCTCATTCATGTACAGATGGCCTCTGGAATAGTTAAAACAAAAATCATACAGCCCTCAAAGCCAGAAATATTTACTGTCTGGCCGTTTACAGGAAAGTAAAGCATAGAGGATTACTGGATGTTCAGAATCACTGGAAATGCTTCACAGATTATTTGAACCCATTTGAAAACTGTATCACAATGTAGTAGGCCTCGTGTGTCCCAGTCGGTTTGTATATAAAATGTATTTCTAGAAACAAATTTGGCAAGCTTTTTTGTCTTGTGGAATACCTGTTATATACTAGGTTCTCTTTCATTGGTAGCCTTATTTGAACTCCTCATTGAATGGTGAATGATAACAGTTGGACCCAAACCAACATTTTATGGCTCCAGGTGGAGGACTCTTCACTGCAACAGAAATGTAACTACAGGATATATAAGTAGTGCAGCTTGGACTAGTACATGGTACGGTAATGCAAGATTGCATTAGATGGCCAGTGCAGTGCAGTTGCCAGATATTTGCCTTTCCCAGCAACTTCTAAAAATAGCTCTTGGGAAGGGTATTGTAGGTTTGACTAAAGTAACAACTGCTGTTTGCTTTTCTGAAGTTGCTCTTATTGCACCAACCAAAATAATGTGTACTTCTTTGGCAGATAACTCACAGGGCTTGGCAATTTTGTGTTCCCATGTTTCTTAGGTAGTTAACCTGCAGTACAGTGAAGTTCAAGACCGGGTCATGCTCACTGGCCGCCACATGGTTCGAGACGTGAGCTGCAAGAACTGCAATAGCAAACTGGGATGGATCTATGAGTTCGCCACTGAAGACAGCCAGCGCTATAAGGAAGGCCGTGTGATCCTGGAACGCGCTCTAGTACGAGAGAGTGAGGGCTTCGAGGAGCACGTACCATCTGATAACTCTTGAAGAAAAAGAGATAACTCCCATCTTTTCCCAGGTCTCCTTCACTGAAAACAAAAATCTACTTACATACACTGTCACCTTAGCATCAGGGTCGGATTCATGAACTGCGGAACAAGAAGTTGTGAGAATCTAAGATGGAACCTTTCTTTCTTTCTTTCTTTTTTTTTTTAATTTTCAATTTTCCATCCAGCAGCAGTGTGTAGAGAGAATATTATGCAGATGCCGTTAATTTTTTTTTCCCTATGTTTACATCTTGAGGCAGAATAGTCTATCTGCAGCTACATGATGGGCTATGTGAGGAAAAAAAAATCTGGGCTGTTAGAGTGAAAAAGTGTGTTTTATGTAAATTTTGAAAGGAAAATGTGTCAAGAGCATGGTTTTTAAACTTATTTGGGCTTCATTTAAAAAAATGTTTTTTAAACCCAGTTATTTCACTTGATTTGCTAGCTTCAGGGAAGAGACCCGACTTTGTGACCAGCGCTAAAGGTTCAGTGTTAGTATGGCTTGTGCTGGCCGCTGTGCCATATTCTTGTTGGAGATGAACCGTAGCACCAGAGCCCATCCTTCCTTGTCAGTCATGACCCAAAGATGTCACCGTTCCTAGTTCTCTGTCACCACATAATTGGTGTTGATTGGAAACTTTTCCTGAAATGGGGCAGAACTGCTTGGTTGTCTTTTCCATGTAACTTAAGCATAGTAATATAAATAAAGTAATAGTTGGATGTTTTTGGTCCTGTGTTGCTTTTAAAAACACCTTCTAAAAGAAGAGCGGAGTATTTGATAAGTAATTTTCATGGTAGTGTTTCTTTTCCTCTCTCGAGCTAAATTGACTGTGTAGAAGAGATTACTGTGTTTAAAATTAAAGCATACTGTTTAAACCCATAGTACTGCATTTAGAAAAGAGTTGAACAGAATGTCAGTGTGCGTTCATGCAGAAAGCATTTCATCTGCATCTGTTTTAAAAGAAGGGAAAATGAAGGAGCCTATCTAAAAATAATGCTTTGCAAAGCATTTTCAGCCTATCCTCAGTTTGGTGTTGATTTTGACAAGTCCGTAGAACCTAATAGTTTCATCAAAGGACTAGATCTGTCATTAGCATTATTTTCTCAGATCTTCCCTCCAAAGTTCAGCTATTGAAATTAAAACTGTACTTGGTCCCTTCAGGGATCAAATTTGACTCAGGGTGTTATTTTAGCCCGAAACTTACAACATTATGAAGTATTAAAATATAAATGTTTCTTTATCCAAACTATTTCTAGGTATTCTAGTATTTGTTTCTGGTGGAATAAATGACATTAAAATTGGCTAATTATTTAAATGTATGAATGGATGTTTGAGTGCTCAATCTCTAGGTCTTTGTCTATAAAGGATGTTTGCCTCAGCTAGCAAAATCTTTCTGTCATTGATATTAGAAGTGACTCTTGAGTATAGTTAAGATTAAGTTTCTCTTCTTTGCTTTCCGGCTCTTGGTTAGAGGCATAGGTGTCTGATTAAGTAGGTGTATAATACTGCATTTGAGATAAGTGGACACAAATGATCTTTCCTTCACCATGGAATAAATCTTCAAGCTTTAAGAAACAGCTTTCATTCCCATTCATTTCCATACTGGCCTTTGATTATATGCAGATCCCTGGTAGCATGCCTTACCTGCAGCGCTATGTGCATTTGCTGTCACAATAAAGTATATTTTGTCTTGCATTGGTGCAATACTACTTATTTCCCACTGATCCTTGTCTTAGTTTTAACTTAGTTTTTATCATCTTATCTTAGTTTTAATGTGAACACATATGTAATACCTTTGAGTAGCTATGGCTTTCTTCAGTTAGTGATAAGGTGATATTCTGGCTTAGTTAATTTAACCTAATCTACACCAGGAGATACTGAATTTACCAGTAGTAACTTCTGTGTGATCATTTTGCCTCAGACACTGACAAACTACAGTTTAGTATATATGAACAAAAAAATGTGCTATCACTAGGTTAACTTAGGCAACTGGCAGGTACCACAACAAACAACGAAGTCCTCTGTGCCTTCCTTTTAAAAACTTGTATTTGCAAAACTGAAAAAAAGGCAACATGAACGAAGAAGTCAGATTGGATTGTTTATTGAAAAATGAACACACTGTTCACTGGAGATGGGAAAGCACTTAATGGGAATGATTTTGCTTTGGGATGAAGAGGTTGACCAAATACAGGGGAGAGTATACCACAAGATAAGCGGATTACTGGGGGGTGTACAGGTAAAGCTTTAATCTTTGAAGACTTCAGAACCCTTCCTCTTCATTTTAGGTGACAGTGGCCATAAGTTGTTTTGACTTTAAACATGAGTGCTTTTATTTAAAGAGAACCTAAAGTGAGTATTTTAGGGGTTAAGCGTTTATTAGTAATTACTGTAACAATTTAAGTTACCCTTGTAAGTGGCTACTTTTGGATTGGAGGAGAAAAATAGCGTTATCTATTTTCTAAATTTATTTATTCATAAAAATCTTATGGGATGCTTCAGTACAGAGGTGGCCCCAACCCCGGGCCGAAATCAGTCCACAGGCAGTTTGGATCCAGCGGTATTGGGAAACTACCAGTTGTAAAAGATTCAGAGACATGTTTATGATGGTTCATTTCCACACCAGTTATAAAAATATCTCAGTTTAGACATCCACTATTCCATGCCTGTTTTTAACACCAACTTCCCACCAGGAGCCATATAAAACCTTCTAGGGAAGGAAGGTGTGAATTGGGAGTAGAGCAAGATTAAACTGAAAAACTCCTGTTAGGCTAGCACTTTGCACTAATATGAGAATTCTAGAAATAAAGCGGAAAAGGAAAAATTAGGATGCATACCCATCTAAAATTGAGTATGAATTATATGGCTTTATTTTAGAATAGTGGGACTTAACAAATTGAAACATATATTTTGGCATAAAATATACATTCCAAAGCACCATTAAGGGTTTTGTGATCCTGGACAACACTCAACATACTTGGGCTTTTAACATCTGTAATCTGACCACCTGGGAGACTTGGTAAACAGTGAATTATGCCTCTCCCAATACTGGATTGGTCTCTGAGGTAAAGCCAAGAAATCCAGATTTTTTACCCAAATGCAAACATAACTTACCTGCAAATACATGACCATCACTATTGAAAGGGTTATTCAAACTCACGATACAGTAGTCTCCCTTTATCCATGGTCTCTGTTTCTGAGATTTCAATCACCTGCGGGTCAGGAAGCAGATGATCCTCCCGACATACAGTCAGAGGTCAGGAGTAGCCTGACCTACATCAAAATGCCTACATCATCCACCTCACTTCCTCTAGTCATGTTGGCATTTTATCATTTCACATCATCACAAGAAGAGGAAGGGTGAGAACAGTACAATATATTTTGAGAGAAACCATATTCACATAACTTTCGTTTCAGTATCTTACAATTGTTCTATTTTATTGTTAATCTCTTACTGTGCCTAATTTATAAATTATAGGAAAAAGCAACATGTATAGGGTTTGGTACTATCCGCAGTTTCAGGCATCAACTGGGGCCTTGGATGTATTCCCTGCGGGTAAGGGTGCTAACGCAATGTATGGTTTATGGTATGTTACCACCTGGTACAAACAGGTATTTCTCAAAAAGAGGCCAAAAGACTTAGAAGCATGAACAAGAAAAAAAAGGATTAATACGATGTCCACCTGCTTAAAAACAGTGATTCTTAAAAATGAGTAAATACAACAGATAATCTTTTTCCTAAGATATGCTTTTTTTTTTAAGATTTTATTTATTCATGAGAGACAGAGAGAGAGAGAGAGAGAGAGGGAGAAGCAGGCTCCCAAGGAGCAGGGAGACTGATGTGGGACTCGATCCCAGGACTCTGGGATCGTGACCTGAGCCGAAGGCAGACGCTTAACCATCTGAGCCACCCAGGCGCCCAGATGTGCTTTTTAAAAGGAGGGGAAAAGTCTCCGGGAAAAATCTTTCTAGAAAGATCACTAGATTTTAAAGGCCTGTCTTCAATAACGAGTGTGATTTACTAACTATGTGACTTTGGGAAGTGTGTGACTTAACCTCTTAACCTTTGTTTTCTCAAGTATGAATTATAAAATTCCTATCTTAAATGATTCTTGTTAAAACATAGTGAAATACATGGCCTAAAAACCTGTTAAGTATTATGTAATGTATCTATACTTTTTTCCAGTAAACCTTTACAGTCCTTCACCATTTACTCTAATTTTACTCTAATGAATGGCCAGAATGCTTTCAAAGTTCTTTAAATCCTTCCTGGTTTGATATGCCTTTATAGCAAATTAGGGCTAGAAATCTGCTGTTTATTAAATGTTACCATCTTGACATTTTTGCCATAAGGAACCTTTCATAATCTGCTTCAATAGACATTTTACTTCACTTTCAATAATTGTCAAGGCTCCTATTTTTCTCCTACCGTGGAACAAAAGGAAACCAAGGTAAAGTTTAGTGAATACAACCTCAGTGATAAGGTAAATAAATTTTAAAAAGCCTCCATTTCCCCCCCAGCCAGACAAGGTGACTTTTGAGAAGAATCCTGTAAGAATTTTCACTACAGGTATTGACCAGTTCCTTTACAAACCTAATTTTCTTTCTCCTGTGTTTGTCTTAGCCTATTTCACGCTAGTGCTCTAATGGAGTTAGTCCAATTTTTAAAGAGTCCAAAGATTATGAGAAAAATGGTTTTATATATCAAATCATCTCATTTCAGTCCTCCTCTGTGGATTTGCCCTAACGATGAACAAGTCATCTCTTGTCCCTGGATTTAATGCCAAGTACAAAAACCAATTCCATCTAATAATTTTAAAAAACATACCGAGAGCAAAGCCCAGCTTTGGAAAAGGTGGTATTTATGTTCCTGAGGATTGGCCAGAAGTTTTCAGGGACTGGTGCAGTTGGGAGATCCCACCTGGTGTGCCCCTGGGTCAGGAGGGTGGGCTTCAGCTGTTCCCAGAATTTCACTTCCACCAACTGTTGAGGTCCCATGGAGTGAGCTGTCAGCACCTGGCCACACTACCTTCTCAGCTAACCAACTCTACCTGTAGCCCTCCCAGAAAACACCGGGCAAAGTGGAGGCGTTACTGTGACCACATGAAGATTCTGTGAGTGTTCTCTTTTCCTAGCTAAGCCATCTCCCTTCCCCCAGGTTCCAAGCCAATTGGAAGGTACTCAGAGGCATTTCTAAAACCTGCCAAAATGCCAAAAGGAATCCAAGCTTTTCAAACCCTTTCCTGAGTAAATCCTGAGTCCTGTTTTAAAGTAGGCTCCTTCGAAAACGGGTCTCAATGATTGAGAGGCGGCAGTATTTTCAAGGACTTGACGAATAATGAGTAAAACATCTGAGTGGCCCTGAAGTTTACACTGCAGAAAAATGTTTTTTTAATATAACGTCCGCTGGAACTCATGCTACCAGAAAAGCACCAGTAGATGGCACGAGTATGCAAGTTTTGTTCTTAACTGTCAGTCTGACCTGTCTTTTGGAAAGATCATCAGGGCAGTCTCTTAGGGTCGGCTCACCCAATGAGAGAGGATTTTGCTCCGACGGGGGAGAGTTGTTGCAGGGGGCCAAAGGAAATCAGATGTGAGAACATGCTTGGAAACTACAAAGATTATAAAGATTAGGTACTCTTTCCAGTTTTTGTGATAGGTGATTTTTTTTCTGTTTTAGTATCTAAAGCTTTAGCTTCCACAGCTTTAAGCAATAGTTTTTCAACAATTATTTTTTAATATTAGCTTTTTTTTGAAAAGGGTAACGCGAGTCCTAGAAAGCTGAACGCCACAGTGTGACTTTGCAGTTAGTTAACCTCCTGAAGCCTTGTTTCCTCAACTTTAAAATATGGAAAATAATTTATGGAGAATGTGTGTGAAAATTCTTTATTAAGCCATACAGTATTCTAAAAATAAAATACATTCCCATAAATTGAGTGACATTCAGTGAGTTATTTCACATCCCCTCCAGTTGCTAGAAAGTGTGTGAGCGTTCATGTATCCATTGGGCAATGTTTGAGCACCTATTCCCTGTAAGACGATATGCTAACAGTTGGGAACACCTGGCGCCCACTTCCTGGCAGCCAGATGAAGGACTTTTGCAAAGTCCAGTAAAAATGCTCCAAGCTACTTTATCCATACTGAATGTATCCCTGCTGTGGGAAATGAAAGGTATCCAACACAGGAGTGCAGAAGCTCGTGAAGGGCCTTCCTTCTTCCAGCAATTGATTGGTTTCTAAGTTTGAACAGACGGAACATTCCAGATTAAATGAAAATAACAGAAATCATCTCTGTAAGTGTGATGGAGTCTGAAATTGGATTAACCTTCCATTCTAAAACAAGCTTCATCTGTCTCCCTTCCAGAAGCAAATATAAATCAGCATTTCCAGGGCATGTGGCAATGAGAGAGGACAAGGCTCACACCTGGCAGCCATACCAAGTACAGGACATCCATAAAGGTGTACGCCAAGGCTCAGGGCCTTCTCTGCACAAGAAACATCCCAGGTAAAGTGTTCTTTAAGTTGGAGGAGCAGGGACTGGGGGGAGGAAGGGGGGCTTGTGGGGGGCGGTGCTGGGGCTGTAAATTCGCAGGTCCTCAGATTTAGGCATTTTCCGATGAGTGATCTCACACTCAAGTGCCTTTGGATGCTGGAGAGTTCATTAAGGGAAGCCTGTGGGCCTGTGTGAGACCGCGGAGG